AACTTCCTCAAGTTCCGACACGTAAATCAAATGCTGTGGACGAGTGTGCCAGACAGAATGATGAAGTTGCGAAAAAGAAGATGAAGATGAATGCAAAATTTATCAACCCACCTGATGAACTTCCTTACGGTGATGTCGTCCTCATGAGGAATGAACAAAGGAACAACAAGCTCGCCCCGAATTTTGACCCACAACCGTATACCGTTATGGTAAAGAAGGGAAGCATGGTGTCCATCTCTCCGGAACCAGTAATGGAAAGACTTATGACTCGTACCTCATCATGTTTCAAACGAATTTTGAACACTCTAACTCGTGATACTGTGGAACCAGAACTCGCGGAAGGAAATGAACAGATACTCGAGCGAAAGTTGAAAAGCACATCTGTGTAAGATGTGACTCCGAATGTGACACCGGAAGGGAAACTGAAAACAGAACCGTTATCAGACAAACCTGTAATCCCAGCCAAATTCGGAGCAGAACCTTACACCACGCGATCGGGTCGAATCTTAAGGAAACCTGCAGCTTTGAAGGACTTTGTGAAATAAACTTGTATTTTGTTTATGTTTTGGTTTAAAGATTGATTTCAACTTTCTAGTCAATTTTGCAATCTCTCTCAATTTGTAATTCTAGTCAATTGCAAGTGTGATTTTCTAGTGGTGTTAAATTGTATTTGTAGAAAACCTGTTTGCTGTCAATTTCAATCTTTCATTTATTACCAAATTTCATTTCTGAGAAAAGGAGGAATGTAAAACTGCATATTATTCATTTACACTATTATTACTATTTTAATGGAACTATTTCTTATTGTGCAATGTTAGACCTTATAACTTTCTTATTTCCCGACATTATTACACATGCTTTGTAGGGGCGCATTGATATCATGAAAAGAAGTGAATAAACTGTCAGCATCAAATCAACGTGTGTTTTGAGTGCCTCATGTGTATCTAAGGATTACCCAAGTATTACAATGATGAAATAATTTCTTTTTAAATATTTAGCTCCAGGGTCAGTGGTGTCTGTGGGGATGGGTGCACAACTGCTGATTATAAATTGTAAAGGCATTTTCTCTATCTCTGATATACCTCTGGGTATTAAGTAATCAAAGTTATCATGCTAAGTGTTTAATTATGATAAACAATCGTGCCTCTTTCAAAATTATGAATTTCATGGTTATTTGTTTAAAACACGAACCAAGTTCATTTGCTGGGAAGTTGTTGCATGATATATACATCTACTCAGGTGACCTTTAAGGCTCATGAACCTCTTGTTTTGATATAACGTAGGTCATCCAGATATAAGAATTTGGCGCTTTTAAATTTAAAAGGCGGTTGTAACTCCTAATATAATTTTAAAAGAGTTATAATTTGTAAAAAATAGAAATTCGTGTTCACCTATGTATCGGCGGAAAGAGTTTGTCATCTTGCAATAAACACTTACATTTCGTCACCAAATATGAGAAAAACATTAATTCAGTTTTTTCTTCAATAAAACAATGAACTCTCGCTGGGAATTTTCAAATTGAAAAGGTGGTTGCAAATTTCACTTTAGCATCAACATTATTGTTATTTCTGGTAGAACATATAAAGAAGAACCAAAAAAATGGCAAAAGTGACGCAGTTTGTATGGAGTGAGAGGAAGATCAAGTAATATTTTCTGAACGAAAAGAGATATTTTCGACAGATGGATGTACAAAACCGACATACATGTATAACATTCAAATTCTAATATTATGGTTGCAGGGAACCGAAGCGACGCTTTAGTGGATAGAAGGTCATTATTTATGACGTTATGCTTCAAATATAAACGCCCTTTGTCATTCAAGAAGAAAATATTACTGAATGCGTTGAAATTTACTTAAAAGATGAAGCCAATATAAGCGCTTTAAAAATCATAGGCTGCTCAAAAAATATTTTTCATAGGAAGGACCCATCCAAAATATGAAAACTCTATATCTTCTAATTCATAAGTTATGACATTCTAAAACGTCAATCACGGTGTCAAAAATAATATTTAAGGTCAGACGACACGTTCCTCAAAAATATATAATTTTTTCTAAGAAATTGTCATTGAAGTATGGTAACTAAAACAAGATTCCTCACTAAAAATTAGGGTACCTTACCAGGCATTTGGCCAAGATACCATTGAGTCATATTTCTTATATAACCCTTATGGGTAATCTTCTAAATGGTCTATAGCTCAAATTTTTGTGTACTTATATTTAAAAAAAAATTTAAAAGCAATGTAGAAATCAGAAGAGAATGGCTAATATGAATAATTTTTTATATAATACCAAGAGATACAAAACATATATTTGAGGAACGTGTCGTCTGACCTTAATTTAAAAAAAGACCGGTCACTGAAAGTAATATGCAATTTGAGAGCCCTCGTTTTACGCGTGGAAAATTTACAAGTACCACCAATATAATTGAATGTTATGATCAGATTGCCTCCATCTTGATTTTATTGTTTCCTTATATCAATAAAACATATGTAGAAAACGAACAGTATTCCAGTTCAAAAGTCTATGAAACTATATAAAACAGGAGCAGAGTTAAACACGAACCTTTAAGATATCAGAGATGGGATCAGGCTCTGAGGCCATAAAACTGAAACGAGCTCGTTTTGATCTCATTCGCACACTTAAATTGAAAATTAATAGTGGAAAACTGAGAGTGAGAAAAAGAGGGAGCTCATCTCAGTTTTTTGGCCCCAAAGCCAGGTGTCATAGAGAAGTAGGCATTCCCTGCCGGCCAGTCAACCAAAGAAATAAAAATAAAAAAAAAAATTTCATACTTCCTGATTTAATATACGGGTAACTCTTGATGGCTCGAACCTCGATCTCTCGAAGTTCTTGAACGCTCGAAGTGAGTCTCCGGTCCCGATTTTTCCCCTATATAACTAAGCAAATTTACTCTCTATTTCTCGAACTCTTGATCTCTTGAAACCCTTGATCTCCCGAATTAAAATTGCTGCCCCGCTGTGCATATTCTATTGAAATTCACCCTTGATACCTCAAAGTGACTATATGTATACAAAGTTACATAATTAGCAACTTTTAATTTACCTGGACATTTAATGACCGCAGGCAGAAGACGTGAAACGGGTCTCGTGAAACGGGATGTTTATTCAGGTGACACTTATTCTGCAAGGTGATAATTGATTTATAATTAATCTTATTGTGCCTATATCCTATCAAAATAATTTCGTCTGTATTACGATAATTCAGAAACGTAGTGTCGCTGAGAAATTGTAATTGCAGATTACGAGACGAAACAATTAATGACTTAATTTTTTATTTCGAATCAGTTTCAAATTTTAACGAAATATGAAAATTAAGAAACAGCATCGCTGTCAATATGACGATTGTTTTTGACAAAAACATACAGAATTTCGTCCAATGCACATGTTTGGAAAAGTCTCAATGCTACGCGACGCTGGTTTATGCCGTTTTCATATAACAAATGAGTAGAATGAAACTCGTATGATAAAAAAAAAAATTAAAAACACGAACTGACGATGTATATTTTTTGCTTTACTCAGTTTAATAAATATTCTCTTAAAATACGAAAACATATCGTTGTTTTGTAAAAACCACGCGTAAAAGGTAAGAACTGCATGAAAATCATAAGATCTGGTATGACTAAATTTAAAACCTGTCAAACAAACCAGGAAAAATCCGGTATCTTGAAAACTCGAACTCTTGATCACTCGAAGTTTTTTTTCTCGGTCCTGCGGGCTTAGAGGTATGGAGAGTTACCTGTAATAAATATGGTATATATTTTTTTCAAAAGGTTGTAAGGCGTGAATAATAACATCTATTAATTAAAGAATAGATGCCTTTATTTTAAGAGGAAAACTGTGTTGCTGCTATTTGAGTTGGGCTAGCTATAAATTAGATCGGGTTCGGGATATCTCAAATTCCCCCTCTATGGCTGGATCCTGAAAACGAAAGGTATACGAATTTTAGCAGACAAAATTTTCAATAAAAATATGCTTTCAATCACGATTGTTTCTTAAATCCCAACCCATCCCATCCCATATTTTAGAGTTATGAGAGAGTATACATCTTGATATTAAATAATTTAAGAAGTCTTTGTCTGCTGTTGGGGTTTTCTCTATCATTTCAGGATTGACTTGAAGATTGAATTCACTTGGAAGATCTTCGTCGTGGCATTCCATGGGCCTGACCTTGTAGGCTGTAATGTTGATTGCGTGTTTAGCCTCCCTTGAAGAGTCCTTGATAACATTCCTGTGTATTACAATTGTTTTACCCCTTTTCGTCTCAAGATTCAGTTTGCCCCGAGCCATTCAACTGATGCTATAATTCATTGTGCTGCTGCTGCTGAAAACAAACTCATTTACTGTGAAAATGTGTGCTACTTTCAACAAGTTCATGAATTGGTCTGCTTTGCTTGATTGAAACAAGCTCAGTTGCTGTGCAAAATGTGTACTGCTTCCAACAAATTTCATAGACAGTGCTTTGCTTGCTAAAATATCTTTAGTAACGTTCGCGGTTTGATAACCCGGAACGATAACTACATACATGTAAACTTGTAAAGTTCATTTAAAATACATGCACATAAAATTTAATTGTAAGGTTAATTACCGTTTGCGGTATACCCGGAACGGCCATTGTTATGCTTATTATAAGTACATGTACATGTAATATTTTGCTATCATGTTGATTGCTGTTGTTGATTGCTGTTGTTGATTGTTGTAATTATTTGGGGTCGCCCTGCTTGGAACCCCTTGCTGCTTTAAAATATGCCACGACCAACAATCGCCAATATATTAAAATAAACGTGTATAAAATCATATTTGTTTTATTTTCCTCTATATAAATAAGGTCAGTTAAGTGCGTGTAACTATTTGCTTATAGATATCAATGTAAAATGCTTGGAGACAAAATCAGAAGTGTAATGCTGAACTATGAAACCATTTTATGATATTTAATAGCATTCACTTAATAGTTGCTCAATCGTTTTCTTTCTATTTCCTAGATCTTTGCAGTATCGACACTCTTCATTACTCCTGCAACTTGTTTCGAATTACCCAAAGGTGCATGTCAGAAATCTTTGGTCTCTATTTGTTCTGTATCTGAATGTCCAAAAAATAAAGATGACTTTGAAGAAGCTGCAAAACGGAAAGATTGTAGCCTGTATGAGTCCTCGAGTTGCAGAACACTGAAATATCACTGTGTATTGAATTACAATTTAACAGGATTAGTTGAAGTGTGTGCTTTTTCAAGGATAATCCAATGTTAGTAAAATTGATTAATGATAACATAAATGTATAACACAAAAGTATGGTATTCAACACAGTGAAAGTTTAATCAATTTACACATTAATTTCTTTCTTTAATTATATTTACGTACCTGTAAGAATGTATATTTTTTGTTACGTGTATATTATTTTTAGTGATAGATTTGCATATTCCTCGTTTTTTATTTATAGCTGGAAGATGTGCAACATTTAATGAAGTATTCTACAGCATCAGGGAAACTGATAAAGTTACCTGTACACAATCCAAAGACCCGTGTCCCTCCCCTTACAATTCCAAGGAATCGTATAAATGTAAGTTACATGTACTTCCCATAGTCATTTCAAAGTACTGGATAAAATTTTTTAGATAAGTGAAATATTAAGTTTTTTTTACAAAATAAACCAATACGAGACGTTTCCATTACGGGCATTGAGTATATTTATCACATTTGTTTTGCAAAGCATATGTTTGTGTATATATTGCACGAGGTTTTCTCAAAAGGTAATTCAACAACTTCGATAAGTTCACTTATTCAAACACTAAATACATCCATTTTTTCAAAGATTTATTTATTTCGAATCGGACTTACAATTCAAATCAACATAATTTATATTTTCAAAATATTGTATTATATACAAAGTTTAATTTTGGTAGTCGCTGCATCTAAACCCATTGCCGAAATTCGTTAACAGTGCAATAAAAAAATCTTTACAAAACAGATACAGTCCCTGAAACGTTCTACTTTCCCACCTGAACGGTGAACGAACGCTGAACGAACGGTGAACGAACGCAGAGCGAACGGTGAGTGAACGATGTGCGAACGGTGAACACAACTTGGTGAACGATGTGTGAACGGTGAACGCAGAACGCGAACGGAGCGCGAACGCGAGCGCAAAGTGAACGATGAACGAACGGTGAACGCAAGATGAACGATTTATTCGGAATGCCTTTGGTCTTTTCCTTGCATTGAAATTATTCTGTTATTCTATAATTCAAATGTCATAAATAATTATTAATAAACAATAGATTAACAAAAGAGAAATAAATAAATAATAAAAATAAAATTCTGCACATACGTATGTTTAAATCGATATTTTAAAAACATGATTTTAATCGCCGTCAAACGTGTATTTGTTACAGCGTGTAGTTAAAAAATAAATTAATTTTATATAGTGAATGATTATGCTAATTCTTTTAACTAATAAAATAATGTGGACTTTAGAAGATGAAACTACTACTGAGATAAACAATAGATAAATAAATAAATTAATTAATAAATTAATCAATAAATAAATAAATAAAAACATTTTTCTGCACATACCTATGTTGAAATCGATATTTAAATAACATGATTTTAATCGCCGTCAAACGTGTATTTGTTACCGCGTGTAGTTAAAAAATAAATTAATCTACTTATATAGTAAATAATTATGCTTATTCTTTTCACTAAAAAAATAATGTGGACTTCTGAAGATAGAACTACTACTTATTGAATTAATTAATTACAATGTACGGGGCTGAAACAACCGTACATGTATTTCCGTTTGTGCCACAGCGATTCTGAGTAAAATATTGGATTTTTTTTAAATTTACAATTATCTGTTGACATTGAATGTAATCGTACTGCATAAAAATTCTCGTTTTATTTTAATTCTACTGCAAAATATTCTATATTTATGTGCCTTTTTTATTCTTTTATGACGATTATTTTAGCTAACTTCTTCATGTATCTGTAGACATTTTCCGGCCGTGATTATACTCGGTCAAGATGTTGGAAAGAGGCATTCAAATTATTTGTAATGCATGCGTAGATTAAATTTTCAAAACTAAATAAGTAATGTGTTGTCATAATTTTTATTGAACAGAGAAATGTACGAGAGAGAGAGAGAGAGAGAGAGAGAGTAGAGAGAGATAATCCTCTGGATTCTCAGATATCTGTTGTATCAAATAAAAATTCTTATTATTTTTCCTAAATATTCCTAACAGTAAAAGTAATCGAATTTTTTAGATTAACAAATCCATTTGACAGTAATCATCGGCTTTTATTTTCCTTCATCAAGTTCACACGGTTCACAGGAAGTCCGTGCTACATTTGTAGTAGCGTGCTTGTGCTGTCAATCAAAATAATTCGACACAGTGGAGATGTGGAAATCGCGTTTAACCGAACATGCCGAAGGCAAAGAGTCACTTAGTTTTCCAAGAAATTTTAATTCTTTTCCCTATCATGTCTAGATCTGATTTTTGCATTCCTGTAGAAAAAAAAATAATTCGAATGTATACTTGGAAGGATTAAGTTTTAAATTGAATGTAAAACATACCGGTATTCCCTGACAATTTAGAATACTTCTGTCTGCACAAATTTTATACTAAAATACTATTGTTTAATGACTGTTTGACGTTGGTTTTAAGACTGATTTTCTTGTGATACAATAAAAATTGAATAAAACTAAAATATACTGTAAAAACTCAGTAAGAATTTTATTTCGGAAAAAAAGGCACGGGGGGGGGGGGGGGGGGGTCTTAATTATACTGAATAGCAAAAAACTTATTTTTAGAAATATGTTTAGGTACGGTGAAGGAGAGAATTTCCCTTCTCTAATAATAGACTGTTTAAGACAGTTGCATGGTCTTTTCTAAAATTTAAAACCACACCATCAATTTAATTATCTCTAAAGATATTTAATTAACTGAATATATGCAGTACTGTTCATATTTCTCAAAGCTACATATAGTGTAAATGCGTGTTACTGTAGAAATAATTTTTTTTTATGTATTCTTGATCTGTAAAAGACTTGGATTAATTATTATACATCCATTAATAATTTGTCCTCTTTAAAATTACATCAAATTGATGCCGTGTGTGAAACATTTGCACATTGCCCTTTTTTTAATTTAATATTTTAGCATCGTTCTACATACATGTATGTACCTAATGTATTAATTATTTTCCAGGGAAATTTCATGAATAAAGTAACAGCTGAGTTATAATTATATAGAAATATAAATATCATCAATAATTTTTGCAATGAAATAATTATTCTTCAAAAACGATAGCTGAGTTATTTAATTAAAAAAACTGGTTAATTCTTACCATCAAAAATATAAGTCCTTTCACTTCGGAGTTGCGAATGACAATGAAGACTGTATGATAAGTGAACGGTGAACGCAAGGAGAACGCAAAGTAAAAGGAACGAAGAGCGAGCGGTGAACGGTGAACGCGAGCGCACGGTGAACGGTGAACGCAATACTGTGAACGAAGAGCGAACGGTGAACGCACGCTGAACGAACGGTGAACGAATGGTGAGCGAACGGAAAAATGGGAAAGTAGAACGTTTCAGGGACTGTATATGCATGTCTTTGACAACATCAGACTTCAGTTAAATGTTTATGTGCGACTTCTCACTTTTGGTATTCCTGTACTCTGCTAACCATTCCATGATCCATCACCCTCCTCGGAATTGCCAAAACCATCTATTAACATGCATTTAATTACAATTCGTTTCACTCTGACTCTGAATAATGAGGATAGCTGTCTCAAAATGCAATACAGTTCCTTGTTTTCCCCCATTTCTTAATTGCTTGATGGACAAAATTAGTTACGATTGCTTTTTTTTAATGCCATGACTTAAATACCTGTTTTAAATACAATTTAATAGTTTGAATGATTATGATAAAGAAAAATTAAAGTAGGCATGAGTGACCACAGCAGATGATTATGTTTATGATATTTTTAGAATTTGCATTTTACAATATTCGTCATGTGATCTCTAAAAGAAAAAAATAAAAGTTCAAGATTTGAATCTTAAAACCTAAGACATAGGACACTGATCAGGATGGGTGGGGGAGGGGGTATAATTGATCTTGCCCAGCCTTTCATATTTTTAAGCATGCGATACTGCATGTGACCCATATAGCCTAATGCACTATACAAAATGAAACTAAAATTAATTATTTTATTTTCTTTTGTTTCGTACAATTGGTCTGCAAGTATACTAATACCTTTTTATCTATTTTTTAGATTTATTTTAAAAATCCAATTATAATAGATTGTTTTAATAAAACCAACGAATATTATTTATTTTATTGAAAGATACGAAGTGCTTCGAAATACTGCCAAATTCTTCGAGATTACATACGCAGAGGTTGTAAGATTTTTTTTAAGCCTCTGCTTATTTAGCATTTCTTCTTGCAATCCAGTGGAAACATCTTGAAATGTGCTATTCATTACTTCTATAAAGTTGACCAAATATGAAAACTGAGGCTGAATATTTTTATTATCATAATATATATGAATAACATATCTTTCAAATCTTTTTGCTTCCTAATATCACTGTCAAATTCCTAAGGAGCTTTGAAAAATATGCACAATTGCTCAAAACAGATATATCTAGTTGACATTTTTTTTTCTTTGATCAATAAGTACCGTAGTGCTTTTGCTTTCTTTAATCTTTAATATTTTTAAATTGCTTACTCTGCACCTTAATTTGTGTCAAAAAGGAACCAGAAATTGTCTTAAAGATATAAAATAAAAATTTAAATTAAAAGTAAATTGACATTGACATTTCACCTTGATCAAGTTTTGAAGATTAAGGGTCACATTGCATTTCATCCCATGTTTCTACAAATCACTGTCTCAAAGTTAATATTAAGCGTATGGTCGTTAAACAACACAAACTCGTATAATGAATACATTGAAGATATATCTAAGGACCCTAAAACATTTAACAAAGTTTGTGTCACTACAGTGTACGGCTTCGGAGGAGTAGTGATAACAATGTTTTCGAACAAGGGGCAATAACTTCAGAAGAGGTTAACGTCAGGGGACAGGATTAAAATCTTTGACATAAAAGGACGTCTCCAAAATGCAACAAAACATAATATAATATGTTTATAGGCAAAAGGAATTTTAAAATGCTTATTTTTGTGATTAGAATGACCTTGCTCTTAAACCCTTCATTCCTAAAGCTCTACAGTCAAAGAATCAAATACAGTTAGTTTCATGTCTTTACGAATAGTCACATAGAAAAAAAAATAGTATACTAGTATGTAGATTTCATAAAAACCCCAGGACAAATAATTTCACTATAAATAGAAGAGGCATTTACTGCGTAAGGGAACAAAGATTATAAGCCTAGGGTCAAAGAGCTCGGTTCACTTTATGCATAAAATGGCCCATTTAGATATTCCAATTGATTGATTGACACTTATGTTCCATTTTGAAACATTAAAATTAAATAAAGACAGTTAGTACTTTCATTTCCTATTACATGTAAACATTTTCTCTTAAACGTCCAGGTCTTGAAAAACTGGCTTTACGAAATTGCAGTGTTATTGAATATAAAGGCCGAAGGTATTTTTGAGTACTTACAGTGAAGAAAAATAATATGAGCACACTATCTGATCTAAAAAATAAAACATGTATTTTAATTCTTAGAAACAGTTCTATCATTTACAAGTTGCATATTTTAGATCAGATGTGCGCTCCATATTAAATATCGAAAAATAGCTTTAAATATTCACTTTTTTTTCAAAATATGAGAAAATTGACGCATTTCGTGGCATCATAATGCATTGACTATCTTGGGAATTACGTCATTTTTGAGAGATTCGCAATCACCAAAGATCTAAGTGTAATTCAATGCATTGTTAACTAAAACTAATAATATAAGCAGTTTCAGTTATCCAAAAATTCACAGGGGCAAAAGAGGCAAAAGTGAACCTTGTTCTTTGTTCATGAATTTTTATGATCTTAACAATGAAGAAAAAAATGTTTGCAAAATGTCAAAAAAAATCTGCTTTTAATTATAAAACTAATAATGAGATTGCGTCTTCAAAAAGAATTACGGTATTTACATGTACTTTGTTCTTTTTTACCCTTCAAAGTAATTGAGAGCCATCAATCACATTTGTTAAAGACAGTTCAATCCACGTAATTGCGATCACATTTATTATCCAATGTTTAATGCTATTTGTTAGAAATCAAACATGAAATGAGATTTTATAGTAGCGTCTCATTATATCGCAGTACTTACAACTTGTGCTTCATAAGTGTCATTCCTTTTTTTTTTACTCTCATCAAATGATATTCATAAACCAAAAAATGACCTAACTGTTTAGTGTCAAATTACTCGAAGCTTGCATTGTTTAATTTATAGTCTATTTTTTTAAACAAAAAGTCTCCTTTAACCCTTAATTGAAGAGTCTCATAGTATCGCGATATTGGAAAACATGGAAACTTGTGGTTGACAAGGACTTCAATTCTTATTATTGATTTTACGATGTAATTCTACATAAAAATAAACAATTATACAAACAAAAGATTATCAAAAAATGAACTTTATTATGAATTTAACTAGACTGTAAATTCAGTGGTCTAAATATAATAAAAACGGGAATAGAAATCTGAAAAATTACGTTTTATGTTAAAAAAAAATCTCTTCCAATGCATGTTCCATTTTTTTTAATCATTACAAAAACTTACATTCAGACGACAGACAGATAGTTTTATCCACAAAAATATGAACTATGTACTAGATCTGATTTTTTGGAATATACCGCGATACAATGGAACCTGCGATACAAATATAGTCGGGGATATATGTGCGATGGTGATGCCAAAGCCCGATGGTCTAACCAAACCCCGAAGGTTTGATGTCATCACGGACGCCAAAGTCCGATGGCACGTTTCCTATGAGACACGTTCGGCTAAAGTGCGATGGTCTGACACGCCAAAGTCCGATGCTTCGGAGAAACAATCGACGTATGGACGTTTATGACGTCACAATAACCTGTATAAACCTAATAATCCTTGACGCATTCAAATGCCATCATTTCCGAATTTATCCTTGCATACGCAGTTATTCATTTTGTGTATTGCTTTCATGTTTCAGAGATATTTGGATTAATCCTCGCACACCAACCAACTGTATAGTGTCAATCCTTTTAGTTAGTCCTCACACACTAGTCAAGATTTTAGGGTTAGTATCGCACCTACCAAAGATATCTAGATATCTATGTAGCTGTTAGACCTACTTACTTTTCTACCGATAAGGTTTAGTTTTGCACCTATCCGAGAGATAAGGATTAATTTTTGCATAATGATAAATGTTAATACTTATTAAAAACCTTGGCATGGCGCGGCTTTGTAGTTTGGCGCGTTAGAACTATGACGTCATAAACGTAGATTATTTCTCCGCACCATCGGATTTTGGCGTGTCAGACAATCGGGGATTGGCGCAGACCATCGTACTTTGGCCTGACCATTGGACTTCGGAGTCCCATTGCACTTTGGAGTCCTACATATATAAATCCCACATTTAAAATTTAAATAATTTTTAACATGAATTATTCTTGGAAAGGGGAAAATGCTTTTTAGCAAAATATACATTAGAATTTTTTCAAACCTATGGAGTGGAAGTTTTCTAATGTATATTCATGTATTTATACAAAATAATGTAATTTTCATATTTCAGAAATGACAATTGCAGATCTAGAGGATTGGAAGAAGAAATCGACCACTTTCCTTTATGGGCAATAATACTCACCTCAGTGTCAATATTTATTCTCTAGGCTATTATTTCAGTAATCTGCCTCATATACAAATACAGAAAGAGCAAGAAAACCAGTAAGAAATAAATTTTCTTTCTGTCTTTCCAACCCTACTGTCTCTTTATTTCTTCAAACTACGTCTATAAACATAATAAAAAGTAATTGTCAATAAGGGTTTAATTTAGAACATAGCATGAAGTATTCCTCTCGATGTGCAAAAAACGGTTTAACTTTAATTATGAAATAGAATTATTGATCGATTAAACGCCATGTGTAACTGGATACTCTGGGCTCTTCAGCGATGAGTTTATGCCAATGCATATGCATATCCTGCCAATTTTTTTATTACGTGCATGCTAATTCCCTTTCATTTACAGTACATTTGCTCTTTGGTTTTGAATAGTTTTTTTACTAGTGTTTTGTTTGAAGTTGTTATATTTTTAGAGTAAATAATTTTGTTTTTATATTAAAATTTAGAGAGAAGACAAGAACAAGAGGATGTAAAAGATGGCACGGGGGATGTAATGCTTCAAGAGATTGACTCCATTTCGCTTCATTAAAACTACATTTTTTATGTTCCTTTTTTTCGAATGCCGAACGACTGGTCTTATTTTTTTCAAAACAGGCAAATATATATAACTGCTGAAACGATTGCTCTTTTTTTCGGATTGGGGACAATAAATATTCGCCTAACAACAAGACGTTATGAAAGATACAGAATTTCCATGAAAAAAAACTGTCATTTTATCTTTAAATACAAGTAAAGAAAAGTTATTAGACCATTTTACATGTATCAAAGAAAATATACAAGAGGAGAGATCTGAATAGAAACAGAAACATGGACCAGTAGTATATGAAAGTTAGACTTTTTTACTTTTGATAATGAAACTTACTTAACAAATGATACAATGTGTTTTCATATTTTTTCCAATTTTTACTCTATAATTTCGTTAATTATTTCTTATAATGCTTCATTTGACCTTTGCTTTTCTTTTTTCACGATGAAAGGACGCCCCGAAATATGTAAGAGTAAATGAAGACAAAAATTTGACAATAAACTCTGGGACTGTTTCTTTAGCATATTCAGGGATTTATGAGTTTACCCTGATTTCACAGACCGTTCGAGAATTGGGAAATTATACAGTTTTAATTTAGAGCGAGTGTGACTAAGCTACATTTCAACACGAAGCTATATAGTCCATGAGCCAGGCCTTGAATTTTTCGGTATCGGTACCATCTTGGGTGAATAAATTTCATAGTTATTTTTTGAAGGACATACATCTCTACCTTCAGAAAATGTATGATAGCATTCAATTGATTGTGGCTTTAATGATGTATCAACCGTTTATATACACCAACCAAACTCGTTTGTTCTCTCAGCTGTGTCTTTGAAAGAAAAAGGTTGGTTTTTCAATATGCAATTTCTATCTTATTTTGAATGATATTTTCTTGAAAATTCTTTTGAATGCAGACCAAGCCTTTACCCTTTTCAATTATCATTCAATATTGGCTCTGTAATGAGCCATCTAGATTCTATAGGAATATAATTCTACCCTTGATCATAAAAGTCCGATTTTGAAATTTTAATCAGCTGAAATTAATTACACGCATCAAAAACATATTGCACGGTCACTTACTTAAAAACATTTTATCACGTATTAGCATTTTAAAATAATATTTCAGTAACAAATATATATAAAATGATTTCATAGTTAATCTTTATCCTTATCCTAAAATGAAAATTGAAGAAAAATTCCCTTGATTTACCCTGTGTGTATATTCTTTACTTAAGGTCAGACGACACGATCCTCAAATATATTATTTGTATCTCTTTGTATTGTATCAAAAATTATTCATATTAAACATTTCTTCTGATTTCTAAATTGTTTTCAAAATGTTTTTGAAAATAAGTACACAAATATTTAAGTTAAAACCCATTTAGAATATTACCAATAAGGGTCATATAAGAAATAAGACCCAATGGTATCTTGTCCAAATGCATGGTAAGGTACCCTAAATTTTTGTGAGGAAATTTGTTTAAGTACCTATACTTCAATGACAAGTTCGTAAGAAAAAATTATATATTTTTGAGGAACGTGTCGTCTGACCTTAACAAAGATATTGTGAATTTGTCAGGTCTCAAGTAGAGCCTTTATGTAAAATGTTTTATTTATTGAAACTCGAGCTAAACCATGGTGATAATGGACACTTGTACGTTCTTCTTCTAAGTTAAACGTGCAATTTGTTAAAGATTTTTGACATCAAAATTAAGCAACATATGTGCACGGTTATTTGTTTCAATAAATATGGTCTTTGTGGGCAGTATCTCACGATCTGCAATGGCCTGACGCCCCTTCCCTCCACTAGTCCGGGTAGAAGGAAACCGTACCCTCTTAAGGTAGTTTCCTCTAGGAGACTCTCTCTACACTCTCTACACAAAGCTATGAAGGGCCTCAAACCCCCCGTTGATTAAGGGTTTGCCTACCTATTACGAATGTAAAGACTGTGCATCGGGGGACTCTGCGGAGCAAGCACCGTGGGATGCTTGGAGCAAGACAAGTAACATATATCACGTCTAGGTAATCCACTGCATTTTTCTTCATTTCCAGACGTCCTGATATTTGTCTTGCCACTGGATCTAGATGGTTGCGGGCGAGAAAGTGAGGTTGGCGACGCGCAACCCTTCTTCACTTTCATGAAACTCATCACGCAAGTCATTGTTCATCTTCCATCCCTTCTATCATCCACCCCAAAGCCCTGCGGCGACAGGTGAGGAACGAAGATGACAGGTGCGGGTTCACTGGACGTCGCTAGTCGCGGACCTGCACACAGGCGGCACAGGCCATAGGATTGCTCTTCACCGACCGGAGCAGCGTTGGAGTTCGGCAGCCACCTAGGCCTGTTCGACTGAGCAACTCTCTAGGAACGCACTGCACCAAGTATGGCAAAGAGGAGCCAATTAGAAAAGGTATCCCAAACAAGGATTTGCTATAAAGACGACGCTTGCTGGCAAGCTAGTCGGCGTACCAAAAGGAGTGACGATGAAACCCCCTCACTCGACTAAAGTTCGCCGCTATTATCAGCGCATATGTTTCTACCCTCATTAACCTAAAGGAGGCTAAAACAAGTTCTATGAGAGCTTCCAAAATGTCACCAACACCGTCCCCAACACCGACAAGCTCGTTATTCGTGGTAACTTTAATACGAGACTTGGACGTTAACCACCACGGAGGAAGAGCGTGATTGGGAAACACGGAGTGGGAAAGTACAACAGTGACGGTCTTTTGCTTCTTCAGACCTGCGCTGAACATGGCCTTCTCATCACTAACTGTTTTCTGTCTTCCCATATGTTACAAGACGTCATTGATGCACCCTCGCTCAAAGCACTAGCATCTATTGACTACGTCATTGTCAGGTAGAGAGACAGAAAGAAAGTTCCTTTGTTCACCAAGGCTTTGTACGGCCCGGAGTGCTGGACAGATCATGGTCTCATCGTCTTTTAACTTCAACTTCATCTTCCGGATCAAACACAGGAAACGTCCTCAGGGGATTGAGACTTCAAAACGTCTCAACGTTGGCAAGCTAAGGTTGCCTTCCACCTCAGTAGTTTGCTGACGCCCTAGAAATAGGCCTGAAATCCACCCTACTGGATGACCACAGCATCCAGCACTGGATTGATGAAAACCATGCTGAGATCACGCAGCTTCTAGAGGACAAACATCGCGCTTACTTGTATAAGGCTCATAAAGGTGAGCCCACCTCCACAGCAAAAAGAGGCTCTGAGGAACGTTCTCAGCCCAGTATAACAATAGCTTCGGGATATTTGAGACTCCTGGCTGAATGCCAAGGTTGACGAGATCCATCGTTACGCAGAATCTCCTGACAGGAATAACTTTTACTATGGACTGGGGTAAGTCTTCGGGCCAACTCCATCAGGCTCATCCCCTCTCCTCAGTGATGACTGGTTAACACTTTTCACAGAGAAGGAAAAGATACTCTACAGGTTCTACAGGCTCTAACATTTCAATGGCCTTCTGACCCCCCCCCCCCCTTCTACCATCAACGACGAAGCCATCAACTGACTCCTCAGGTTTCCATCAACCAGTCACTGGACGCTGTTCCCAAGCTGGATGAGATCAAAAAAGCAATTAATTTTCTGTCAACTGGCAAAACACGTGGTGGATACTCCATCCCAGCTGAGATTTACAAAGAAGGAGGTATGGCTCTAGTCGAAAAGCCCCTTCATCTGTGCGAGGATATGCCTGACCAGTCACCTCTGAGCACACTGTCCAGATCAACCCCTCCTTCACGAAGATGAGACAGTGGTCATCGTCGTCATCGACCGACGAATAAGTAACATAGTAGATGTGTGTTGGTATTCATCTTTTTCGTTTTACAAATTTATGAAGTACAAGTAATTGTTGAATAAAAGTGGTAAAAATATGCAATTTTTGTTAGAATAAGGTTAGTAACTCAGTTAATGCTCTTTTAATATGTTCATCATATGTCTGAGTAATTCTGGTGGAACTTTCTATCACGGTTTGCAACTGTGTGACAAATACTTTGCAGGTTGCAAATATATTTAGCTTAAAAAACCTAATTTGAGTAAATAAAGGGCAATATCTGTGGCTCTAGCATTGAAGCCACAACAGATTTGATGCTATCATACAATTTCTTACTAGTTAGGGGTATACCTTACCAAATATCACTAAAAAGTTTATTCACCCAAAATGGTACCGACCACCCCAGTGGCTCATGGACTAATAAGGATCATGTTTGTCATACTACGGACAGTGTAATAGACAACACGATATGGCTGTTGATACTATAAAGTAACGATCTCAGCAGATATTGCAAATTAAGATTATTCAACAGTTCAACATAGATTCTAATATGAGCATGCTGCGAATGATCAAGATTTCATTAACTACAAGACTCTACCAATTGCTTTGAATGCTATAAATCTTGAAAATTAGATTCTGTTTCCATTTTCTGCTGTTCAATTACCGTGTCCACATTGCTGAAATGAGCCTTTAGGTATTTTTTGTGATTGTATGGCAGATCGAAGCAATGTATTCATTTCTAAGCGGTTATCATGTATCGGCACATTGTTGTCTCTGTCAAGGAACCTTAAATATGTAGCCCGCCTGTTAGAACACATTGTTTGGATTCATTCTACCTGCTTTTTTTTTGGACAAATTTTGCTCCAAGGGTTACGTAATGGTAAATTCTTGCAATTGTTATTAATATCTAAAATATTCTCCTTCTCCGTATTTGGTTTCATTTAAGCAAGATAACACTAAAATTGTCACTCTGAACAAATAATTAGCTTTTTCTTTATTGTCATGGTAATTTATCTGTGGAATTTCTATTGATTTAAAATTTATTAAAATTAATACTTATTGTTGTACAGATTTGTTTTAATTTTAGTAAAACTTGGAATGCAGGACGCTACCCTGGTTCAAATTTTTTGATAAATACATGTAATAATACATGACTAAGAAAATGTGTGCTTTGAAAAGTTGGAGCAAAATACAAAATATCGATGATATCAAAAGTACAGGAGAAATACATTGATATATAATTACATGTATATGTCATTTTGAAGAGAATTTATTAGATGTACACATAAGTTCAAATCATTAAATCAACTACAAATTTAAATCTCAACAAAACAGTGCTTAAATATGGAAAAAAAATTCTACAGAGATGACATCGAATGCACTGCACAGACATCTAAGATAAAGACATTATAATTTGTAAATAGATCTGATGTATTTATACACGTAGCGCATAGTTACTTCAAACTTGATTTCCGTCTAAAACAAACGAACAGATAAACAATTTTAAATACATGTATTTATCTCAATACTCGACAATTTGAAATGGTTATTATAAAATATCATGTATTCCTTTATGAAACAATTATCAATTATTAGATTTATATTTCCCTCTGGTGATAGGTATTGCTGAACGTTAAATACTGACATATTTTTTCCCCGCTTAGTGTAATCTGTTCATTTCCTTATACATGCATGCTATTTAAACATTTCAAACATTTCAAACATTCTTTATAATTGTCTTTTTGAGCCCATAATTTTTTTTACAAACTAAAAAGTAAACTTTTTACCAGTTTCATCCTTTAATTGATTTTCTAAGCAGTTTGTTAAGACATTTATATTTTACTCTTTCTTTGGTGCCGGAACATATATTTTCAATTTCTACATGTGACCTCTCTCTCTCCCTCTCTCTCTCTCTCTCCCTCTCTCATACGGTTTCAATGACAGTGTTACAGTAAACTTTGTGATATAATGTTCTTTGTAACTAACCACTTGTCTAACTTCCTTGAAAAAATAAACTTTGAACTACGAAGTAAACCAGCCTCCTCCTAACAATTTAAAAATTTAAGCTAAATGCTATGATTGAAATAAAAGAGACTAAGGTTTAATTATTTTAAATTTATGTCATCCTTGTCATTAAAGTAGACTTACGGACTTATCCGGTATATTATAGTTATTTTTAATTAAATTGTATTTTTTGCCCTTTGGCCTAGGTCAACCAATACCTGACCAGGTCCGTATAGTCATGAGTAGACCCCATCCAAAGTCAATTATAAGGTCTTTCCACCTTTCCGTGGAAAAACCTATTGGAATTCTTCTGTTTCTTCTAATTCTTCTTATTTTTCCGCCGTGTGATTTTGAGTTTCAAGATATATCGAAAAGATTTATAGTCCATAAGAATGTACTTCGTAAAAGATTATTGCAGTTGACCCTGCGGAAATGAATCTTGATCCCTTTCGAAGTTACGACCCCTTTCGCAAGAAATGCTTGTTATCGCTACTCCCCTGAAACCGTGAACCATAGAGGTATGAAACCTTAACTAATGTCATCGACTAATTAAGGGGACTCTTCAATCTATTCATTGCAAAAGTATTCAGTAACCCCTTCAATGAGTTATTGCCCCTAAAACTTTTTGAATTTTACAAAAAATTAAAAATTTTCAAAATTAGAAGTCATAGAGACATGGGCCAACTGCTTAAGATTCATTGACCTTTCACCTTAAAATTCATGTAAAGGTCAAAGGTCAAGGTGATTCCAAAACTGCGCAATTTAGCTCTTTTTATATCTCTCTTGTGCTTTAACATATACTTAATGTTTTTGCATCATTAATATGTACTCTTAAAACTGTTTCAAAGATTTCATTCTTGTCCCCAAACATTAACCCCTTTAAAAGTTATTGCCCCTTGTGCTAAAAACATTGTTATCGCTACTCCTCCGAAACCCTAGACCATAGAGACACCAAACCTTCACTAATGTCTTGAGGGTCTTTAGGCCTAAATTTACTGAGTAAGTACAAAAGGATTTGATGACCCCTTACATGAGTTATTGCCCTTTAACTTCTTTGTACTTACTATCAAACATTATAACTTGTATTCTGTAAATCGTAAAAGAATGGGGTTAATTGCATTGTGACCCTTGACCTTTGACTTTGAATATTTTCTCAAGGTCAAAGGTCAAGGTTATTCCATTTTTTTTTTATTTTTTGTATGCTTTAAGACAATTTTGGTTTCTTTTTCATGGAACTTGATTTTAAGGAGTCAGATGTAATACAAATTTGAAATTCAAAGAAGTTTGAAAGACCTCTATTGTTCTGTGAACGAAATAAGTCGTAGTTGTATAATGTCATTGTACTCCTCGTATTTTTACTTTTTGCTCTGATACTTATTTTGAGTCTTACTCACAAAACGTGGACTTCGCCATTATAATCATATGAATGGCGGGGTTACATTGTTTAAGGTTCCTCTAATTTTCTATTAAACATGATATAAACTATATCGCATAAAAATCTACATTAAAAAAGTAAACTGAAATTGTAAATGCACGACAATACATAAAAGCATATTCAATTAGATACTTAACTTAGAGTTAAAAGGCATGGGTCACCTATTTTTATGCCCCCGTAAACGAAGTTTCGGGGGCATATAGTTTTTTGTCGTGTCCGTCTGTCTGTCTGCCTGTCTGTCTGTCTCTATGTCTCTCTGTTTGTCTGTTTGTCCGCAAAAACTTTAACCTTGCCCATAAATTTTCACTTGGCAGGGCTATGGCTTTCATATTTCACAGGTGTATTTCTTGTGACAAGACCTTTTTTGGGCACCACCAAATTTGAACTTTTGACTTCGGCCTTGCAGTTTGACCCACTTTTACATGAAAATTTTAAAATTTTACTTTGGCCATATCTTTTGAACAATAGACACCAAAACATTTATACTTCACATATGTAATGTTTGTTAGATGACCTTTCACTTGATACCAACAACCTTGACCCTTTGACCTTGACCTTGGAGATTTTTGTACCTATGAAAAAACTTTAACCTTGGCTATAACGTTTGAACAATAACTACTACGGCTTTCATACTTCACATATATAATTCTGATAATAAGACCTTTCATTGGATACCAAGAATGTTGACCTTTTGACCTTGACCTTGGAGTTTGACCTACTAAAAAATACAACATTGACCATATTTTTGAAGGGTTCGGGCTAGGGCATTCATACTCACAAATTTAATCCCTGTGACAAGACCTTTCATTTGATATCAAGAACTTTGACATTTTGACCTTGACCTTGGAGTTTGACTTACTTTTTACAAACTTTAACCTTGACCGTAACTTTTGAACATTAGGGGCTAGAGCTTTCATATTTCACATGTGTAATCCCTGTGACAAGACCTTTTATGGAATATCAAGAATCTTAACCCTTTGACTTTGACCTTAGAGTTTGACCTACCTTTTATAAACTTTAACCTTGGTCATAACTTTTGAACGGTAAGGGCCAGCGCTTTCATACTCCCCATACGTAATCATTAAGACAAAGCCTTTATTCAGAACCCAACAACCTTGACCCTTTCACCTTGAAATTTAGTTTGTCCTGTATAATAAAATGTTAACCTTGGTCATAACCCTGGAACAGGAATAGCTAGCGTTTCATATTTCTCATTTCTTGTAAAAAAAAAAGGCCTTAATTGGTACCAAGATATTTGATCTGAATTTGATAAAGCTTAACCTTCGCTATGTTGCCATACGGGACAAAAGTGTTTCACAAACACATCTTATTTCTTTCATTTCTCAATGCGTTCTCTCTCTCTCTCTCTCTCTCTCTCTCTCTCTCTCTCTCTCTCTCTCTCTCTCTCTCTCTCTCTCTCTCTCTTGGTATTACATGTGGTATATATATTTCTCTATTGGATTACTACAATACTGTACTGAAAGGTCAAATTCAACCTGCATGTATATGTGTGAACGTATAAATACACTGAAGACAAAAAAGACGTTTTATTTGTTTACTGGTTAATTCAGTTACAAGTTCTATGATATTTATTTACAAACAAAATTATCTTCGGATCAAGCTATATGTCCACCTATAATCACCGAGGCCTCAAAACGCCAAGATTCTTCTACCGTAAACAGCCCATCTGAATCACGTCGAGAAATCGGCACAGCCACATGCACTCTATCATCTGATACAGACGTCATCCCTCAGTCATTACCATCCGACTTCGTAAGCAATTCAACCCCCTCTGCTATTTAAACATACACTCAAATCGGTTGCCTGGCCAGCTTCATCAACTGCAACAATGCATTCAATATGACGGCGGAGAAGTGGCCTAGGGCCTATACACTTGTTTGTGCTTCAAACAACATAAATTTAGGTCATATATATAATTAAATTTAAATTAAATTTAACAAGATTGCTTCGATCATATTTAAATCCTTTTGTTGTTTATTTCATAAAAATGTTGAATTTTGACGACAGTAACAAAACAAACATTAAATATTTTAGGTGACTATTTTTTAT